GGTATGAACAATCAGTCCTTACCAAGATGGGTATGTGATGGTACGAACAATTCATCCTCTTTATCAAGGTTGATGTGGTATATGATTGTATGAACAGTCACTTTTCTTTACCAAGGTGGGTATGTGATGGCATGAAGTCACTCAGTAGAGTTGCTAGAGTGAGAACAGGGAGCGACCGCTCCCCCTGAGCACATTTTTCGAAAGTGGCGCCTTTTCAATTTTTTTTTTAACTCTTTAGTTCAGTTGTGCTAACGATATATGTTCCATTTATCCTAACTTGTCCACACTGTACCACATTTTCTAACGTTACCAATAACTAGTGCAGCTGCGGAACGATCCATTAATCAGCACAAACACCAAGTCCTACCTTGGTTCTACAATGGTCAAGGATACATTGTCTGGGTTATCTTTGCTCTCCATTTATTATAATCCACTGAGTTGGATTATAATAAACTTACAAATAACTTTGCTAGAATGAAGCCTAGACGAAACACTGTTGTAGTTCCTTCATACATTTTTCATATTACTTCGTTTTGTTTTCTTTTTACGTTAAATTTAAAATAATTAAATAACACAAATGTTTTTATTATGTTTTGAGATTTATGAACTTACTGTAAAACTTTTTTATTGTTTCGATTTTAAATACAAAATAACAGTTATGTACGTCATTTAAAAGTGTATCTTCCTTGTGTTTTGATTTTAAATACAAAATAAAAATGTATAACGAATTTAAAATTATTAGGTACGTGTCATGCCGCCTTTTTTTATGTGCTCTCCTAATTTTAGAACCTGGCTACACCACTGAAGTCATTCTTCCATACCAGTGTATGTGACGGTATGAAGTTACTCTTCCTTACCAGTGTATGTGATGGTATGAAGTCACTCTTCCTTACCAGTGTATGTGACGGTATGAAGTTACTCTTCCTTACCAGTGTATGTGATGGTATGAAGTCACTCTTCCTTACCAGTGTATGTGACGGTATGAAGTTACTCTTCCTTACCAGTGTATGTGATGGTATGAAGTCATTCTTCCATACCAGTGTATGTGACGGTATGAAGTCACTCTTCCTTACCAGTGTATGTGATGGTATGAAGTCACTCTTCCTTACCAGTGTATGTGACGGTATGAAGTTACTCTTCCTTACCAGTGTATGTGATGGTATGAAGTTACTCTTCCATACCAGTGTATGTGACGGTATGAAGTTACTCTTCCTTACCAGTGTATGTGACGGTATGAAGTCACTCTTCCTTACCAGTGTATGTGACGGTATGAAGTTACTCTTCCTTACCAGTGTATGTGATGGTATGAAGTCACTCTTCCTTACCAGTGTATGTGACGGTATGAAGTTACTCTTCCTTACCAGTGTATGTGATGGTATGAAGTCACTCTTCCTTACCAGTGTATGTGATGGTATGAAGTCACTCTTCCTTACCAGTGTATGTGATGGTATGAAGTTACTCTTCCTTACCAGTGTATGTGATGGTATGAAGTTACTCTTCCTTACCAGTGTATGTGATGGTATGAAGTCACTCTTCCTTACCAGTGTATGTGACGGTATGAAGTCACTCTTCCTTACCAGTGTATGTGAGGTATGAAGTCACTCTTCCTTACCAGTGTATGTGACGGTATGAAGTCACTCTTCCTTACCAGTGTATGTGATGGTATGAAGTCACTCTTCCTTACCAGTGTATGTGACGGTATGAAGTCACTCTTCCTTACCAGTGTATGTGATGGTATGAAGTCACTCTTCCTTACCAGTGTATGTGATGGTATGAAGTCACTCTTCCTTACCAGTGTATGTGACGGTATGAAGTCACTCTTCCTTACCAGTGTATGTGATGGTATGAAGTCACTCTTCCTTACCAGTGTATGTGATGGTATGAAGTCACTCTTCCTTACCAAGGTGGGTATGTAATGCTATGAACAGTCTAACCTCCTTATCAAGGTCAGAATGTTGTTGTGGCTTACAGTCACACGTGTCATTGTAAGGAAATCATCTATGGTATTTACAACCATTCAAATTAAAAAAAAAATGTTTTTAGTCCCAGGAAGCTCGGAAAAAATGGCAAGAAATGAACAAAATGTTTCAAGAGCTGTGAGCCTTCAGAGACTGACGGGCCAGCCAGTGGCCCCAACAAGAGACTCACAAACATTAAATTAACGTCGACAAAATATCACCCGACATACAAACAATACATCTTTAGTTTTTGCAGGTATTCAAGGCCTTAAACCATCACTCAACAACAAAATACCATTTCTCAGTGGACTTTTTTGCAGTCAAATGCAAAGTTTACAGCTTTCACAGAAATCCACACAAAGGACTCCTCTGAGAACGAAATACGGATACCTGGGTACAACTTAAATTAGATGCGACAGAAAGAACAGGCAAGAAAAAGAATGTGATGAGGGTTGGAAGATTGCCCTATGTGGCAAGGAGCTGCTTTACACAGACTTACTTTTCTCTACAATTTACGTAACTGAAGTTTTAGCAGTAATAATTGTATATAAGCCTGGGTGGCTAACCCCCGGGGTTAAAAATCCGAACAATCTATTATCTTATCGTATCTTAACCACATGAATTCACCAAGTATGAGTTCAGAGCATGTCACTCCTGCCTCTCACAACTACTGGACCATTGTGACATGTTCCTGGATGCACTGGCATACAAAGAAAATGAAAATGCAGTATTCACAGACTTTCCAAAAGCTTTTGATCAGTGCAACTATAGTGTATCAGCAACTAAATGTGTGCAAAAGGAATAAATGGAAAAGTGAGCAGATGTATTTTTAAATTTCTAACGAGAAAAAAAAACAAAGAGTAATGTTAAACAGAGTTAAGTCATTGGCTGTCATAGCAAAAGCTGTTTCCCAAAGGTACAATACTCGCCTCCATCCTTTTTTCTCAACCTCATGTGCGACAGGGGCATTTTTTTTTTTTATTCGCCGGTATTCTCCCGGCCCGGGTCTTTTCCAAGTAGTGGTGACCCGGCCTTGGCTCCCTATCTGGGGAGTGTCTCGAGACCAAAGTCTCCCATGGGAGGAGGTACAAGTACCCCCTCATCTTTGGAACCAACTGTCCCCAGGCCTAGCCACAGTCCCCGCCCTCACGGGGCTCGTAGGGAGAAGCTAGGCCTCTGGTCTGCCATCTGCCCCGCCCCAAAGGGGCTCGTGGGGATGGCAGTCTTAATGACAGGGACATAAATCACAGTACCTTATCATCCTTCGCAGACGATACTAGAATATGTGTAAGAGTGGCATCTACTTAGGATACTGCATATCTGTAAGTGGATATAAACTAAGTCTTCCAGCGTGCCCCAGAAAAAAAAATATGTTGGATGAGAACAATTTTCGATTACTCCATTTTGGAAATATTGCGGAAATAAAACTAGAACAGAGTAAAAAACTAACCTTAACCACTCAACAGCGAAAAGCTAACACGAAGGACTTAGTTGTGATAGTGTCAGAGGAACTCTCAAGGATCACAACGGTGTGATTATCACAACCGCAAGGAAAATGACAGGATGGCAAACCAATGACGGTCCCCTTTAAGTTACTTGTTCTCTCTAGGCTGGAATACTGCTGTACACTAACAGCTCCTTTTTTTAAGGCAGACGAAATCGAAGACCTAGAGAATGTACAGAGAACTTTTACTGCTCATATAGTCAGTCAGGCATCTAGATTACTGAGGATATTTGAAGTCCCTCGACCTGGACTCCTTGGAATGCAGGCTAGATAATCAGTGTGCTGATTTGGGATTGGTCCCAAATCAGCACACTGTGAAAACTACCGTAAAGAACTAAATCCCCTCACCTCCAATATTAAAAATAACGCGAAGGAATTACGAGCGATAATACAGAGGATCTCACTTTCAAGGATACCAAAATGCACTATAGTTACAATGTATGCTACAGGCTTTTCCAAAAATTATATGTATTTACAATACGGTAATACAATTTGTTTATAATCTATCTGATAAGTTACAAATGACAACGTGTGAACAATCAGAAGTTTCTCATCTGAGTTCCTGACTACACTAATGTGTGCTAGGCAACCCTGATAAATAAAGTGTAAAAATGACGGTGCAGGAATCGATACAGGGATGTTGTGGCCTTGGTGGTGGAGAGTGTGAGAGGGGACGGGAGGGGAAAGAGAGGAAGGACTTGGGAGGAGAAAGAGAGAAAGGACTGGTGAGGGGAGAGGAAAGAGGGGAAGAGAAAGGGGGCAGCGCAGCCCCTCAGTTCGCCCACGCCACCTCCAGTCATCCATTCAACTTGCTCTCTTTCTCTCCTGCGATCGCTATCGCTATCTCTCCCCCTCTCTCCCCCTTCTCTCTTTCTCTCTCTCCCGGGTGAGAAGGTACACTGGGTGACGGAGTACATACGGTGAAGGGGGCATACACAGTAAGAGATCTGCAGTTCGCTAGCATCAACAGCTTGAATGACCAAGCAGTCAACAATGAAATCTTGTTTCCAGCCGGGGGGTGAATGTAGAACTCTCGAAATCTGTCACAGGTAAGTCGCTAAAGAATTATTGAATTTAATGAATATAAACCTCTTCTACTATTAATAAAACACTCTGAAAAACCCAGGAAACATTAGAAAATGTTAATCATTATCCGATAATAAGTTGAATTCAAACTTTCTTGGTTATGGAGAGATTCTGATGCTATTTCTTGACTGACTTATTTTGTTTTGGTATTTTCACTTTCCAGGAGCCGCGGTCCGGCACTTGTTATACATGTTTGGAGTCTGCCTCTACCTGGAATAATTATCTTTTTGGAACCTCACTACCTCAGCGTTGTGACAGACCAACCAAGCTGTGATGGATATCATGTTACGTGATAAGTAAGTCACATGCCCAGCAGTTAGGTATCTTTATTTCGGTACCTAACTGCTGCACATGTGTCTTACTTATCAACTTGTCGGTATTGTATACCATTATCATATTCATGTTACAAATTGTATATAATTAGACTAAGAGACTTATCATCTTGCTCTAAGGATGAGGGACTGATTACATCAAACTACCTCTCCACTTCATCTTCCACCCTTGCTGATGTTTCCGTAATCGACTGATGAAGCCTACAGCGCAGGTGAAATGTTTCGCCAATAAAGACTCCTGTTACCCATGTGTCTCACTCTTCAGCTGTAATGGATATTTGGGGTCTGCAGGGAAGGGCACAACAGCAACAGCAACAGCCTGGTCAACCAGACAACCAACAGGTAAGCCTGCCTCCGGGACAGGGCGAGAAAGCTGACATACTACTACATATATAGAAAGCTCCTTGTTATGCAAAACATTTTGGGCAAATTAGGTCAATTTTGTCCCAGGATGCGACCCACACCAGTCGACTAACACTCAGGTACGTATTTTCCTGATGGGTGAACAAGGACAGCAGATGTCTTAAGGAAACACATCCTAATGTTTCCATCCTTACGAGGATCGAACCCCTGAACTCAATGTGTGAGCTGACTGCGATAACGATCGAGCTACGAGACACGACACGGGCTGAGTCTGTTTAGGTCCTGTCTAGGATGAGACCTACAGCAATCAACCAGTGGAACAACGCTCAGCTCGTACGCCAGCTTTATTACCGCAACGTTTCGCTCTAAACCCAGCTTGACTGCGGCAACGTTTCGCTCTAAACCCAGCTTGACTGCGGCAACGTTCTCTAACCCAGTTGACTGCGGGAACGTTTCGCTCTAAACCCAGCTTGACTGCGGCAACGTTTCCCTCTAAACCCAGCTTGACTGCGGCAACGTTTCCCTCTAAACCCAGCTTGACTGAGGCAACGTTTCAATCTAAACCCAGCTTGACTGCGGCAACGTTTCAATCTAAACCCAGTTTGACTGCGGCAACGTTTCCCTCTAAACCCAGCTTGACTGCGGCAACGTTTCGCTCTAAACTCAGCTTGACTGCGGCAACGTTTCGCTCTAAACCCAGCTTGACTGCGGCAACGTTTCGCTCTAAACCCAGCTTGACTGCGGCAACGTTTCCCTCCAAACCCAGCTTGACTGCGGCAACGTTTCGCTCTAAACCCAGCTTGACTGCGGCAACGTTTCGCTCTAAACCCAGCTTGACTGCGGCAACGTTTCCGCTCTAAACCCAGCTTGACTGCGGCAACGTTTCGCTCTAAACCCAGCTTGACTGCGGCAACGTTTCGCTCTAAACCCAACTTGACTGCGGCAACGTTTCGCTCTATACCCAGCTTGACTGCGGCAACGTTTCGCTCTAAACCCAGCTTGACTGCGGCAACGTTTCCCTCTAAACCCAGCTTGACTGCGGCAACGTTTCGCTCTAAGGTCAACTTTTTCATGCCATCGTTGCTTGAAGTTCTCGCTTCGTTATTTTTTTTTTCATCTGATTATGTCATCAACAACGCTTGTGTGGGTCCGGGACTCTCAACCCTTCCAGGGGAAGGAGTAAAAGGATGCACTGATGCTGGTAAAGAGCTCTTGATCCATTAAGTTGGAGCTAGTTTTGCATTCCTTAATTATTTCCCATTCTGCAGGCACTGTGTGACTTACGGGTTTAGCGATTCCCAGTGGAAAAAAAAAATAGTAAAATAATAATAATAATAATAATAATAATAATAATAATAATAATAATAATATAATAATCATAACAATAAGGGTTCTCAATATATCTTCATAAGACAGTCTTCTGGACAGGGGAATAACACTGTCACCCCCCCCCCCCGCGCCTATTTTTTCCCTATATTCATCCGCACACACGTATCCCTACATATCCTCCCCATCCACTAAGTGTGTGAGATGAGGCATCCTGGGAGATGAAGACTCGCAAGTGATAGTAACTCCAACTCTGCTGGAAGGAATACTTTGAAGTTGACTTAGCTTCTGAATCCATAATGAAATATCTGAGAATGCCGGGCCACCACTTGGAAAAGGCCCGGGCCGGGAGAATACCGGCAAATCTTTAATAATAATAATCTGAGAATATCCTCATAACCTCCATCGAAGTCTCCTATCTTACAGGCGGACAAATTTTATCACTTGGTGTATGAAACTCATTCTGTGCGATGGAATATGAGGAAAATTTTGGGGTGGAAAACCCATTCTGTGTGGTGGAATATGACAAGGGAAATCCATACGGCGTGATGGAATGTGACAAGGGAAACCCATTCTGTGTGATGGAATATGACAAGGGAAATCCATACGGCGTGATGGAATATGACAAGGAAACCCATTCTGTGTGATGGGGAATAATGAGAATGGAAACCCATTCTGTGTGATGGAATATGACAAGGGAAATCCATACGGCGTGATGGAATATGACAAGGAAAACCCATTCTGTGTGATGGAATATGACAAGGGAAATCCATACGGCGTGATGGAATGTGACAAGGGAAACCCATTCTGTGTGATGGAATATGACAAGGGAAATCCATACGGCGTGATGGAATATGACAAGGGAAACCCATTCTGTGTGATGGAATATGACAAGGGAAACCCATTCTGTGTGATGGAATATGACAAGGGAAATCCATACGGCGTGATGGAATATGGCAAGGGAAACCCATTCTGTGTGATGGAATATGACAAGGGAAATCCATACGGCGTGATGGAATATGACAAGGGAAATCCATACGGCGTGATGGAATATGACAGTGGAAACCCATTCTGTGTGATGGAATATGACAAGGGAAACCCATTCTTGGTGATGGAATATGACAAGGGAAATCCATACGGCGTGATGGAATATGACAAGGAAACTCATTCTGTGTGATGGAATATGACAAGGGAAACCCATTCTGTGTGATGGAATATGACAAGGGAAATCCATACGGCGTGATGGAATATGACAAGGGAAACCCATTCTGTGTGATGGAATATGACAAGGGAAACCCATTCTGTGTGATGGAATATGACAAGGGAAATCCATACGGCGTGATGGAATATGACAAGGGAAACCCATTCTGTGTGATGGAATATGACAAGGGAAATCCATACGGCGTGATGGAATATGACAAGGGAAATCCATACGGCGTGATGGAATATGACAGTGGAAACCCATTCTGTGTGATGGAATATGACAAGGGAAACCCATTCTGTGTGATGGAATATGACAAGAGAAATCCATACGACGTGATGGAATACGATAAGGGAAACCCATTCTGTGTGATGGAATATGACAAGGGAAACCCATTCTGTGTGATGGAATATGACAAGGGAAACCCATCATGTGTGATGGAATATGACAGGGAAACATAGCTAGCTTTTGTTCTCACTGTGTAACTATCATATAAAACAGGATAGCAGCACACTGCTTATTAATCCAATTCTGCTTCATAATATCCCACATCTATTACCCACACCAACCAACCTACACTCCACACTTTCACGGACGAACACTCCGACACTCCCGCACGCACACGCACACACGGGTGCGCTGTGTGGAAATCGAGTATTTCCAGTAACACAAGCGGACTGTTCAGGTCGGGAGAGTTTAGTTCCCTATCATTACATGACGTACTGTACTCTGGCCAGGGCCACACACGCTGTCAGGTGTTGCAACACTTCAACTGGCAATGTGTACGGCAGTAATAGTTCAGTATTATGCGATCTAAAATACTGAATTAAAACACGTACTATATGAATCAAGGCACTTATTATTATGGTCAAACACCACGTGTTACACACACACCACAAGTTACACATGTACACTTACAAACACCAAAAATTACACACACCACACTTATAAACACCATAAATTACACACATGTATACTTACAAACACCACAAGTTACACACATGTACACTTACAAACACCCCAAATTACACCACAAGTTACACACACCACACTTACAAAAACCACAATTTACACAAACACGACACATAGAAACCAGTTAATGTTTCCCAAGCAGCAAGTTGCAGTACCAACATGAGTCAAAGATAACCATCACTTGTGCTATTTTTTTCTATACGAACAATTCTTCTATAAATTAAAAAAAATAGGAAGAACGTATGTTTGTAAATCACATTAAACTGCATATGTGTTTATGTTTCCATTGTGTCGGTATTTTATACCATTTATTTTCATCAAATCGAGTACTATTCGTATAAGTAAAATAAACTAGGTATATTTCAGTCGCTGGGCGATTCGCGGAAGGTATCTCCGTATTCCGTAACTGCTGTCCGTGTGCCTCAATGAACGCGATTGGAATAGTGCAGAGTGTGGCATTGGTTTATTTTGCAGTTAAATGTTAGCGTTGAAGATTTAAATGAAATCAGGAAAGACATTCACGAGCCATCATATGGAATCTAATATCAAAATTTCAAATCTTACAGAGGAACTAAAGTGACCAATGTCCTAAAATACACAAGCATATTAAGTTTGAAACCGGTCAGATGTTGCGCTCTCAAGTAATCATCATGGAAGGATTGAAGATAACAAGAGACACTCACAAATTATCGCATTGAAAAGCAGTATTTCAGTTTTTCAAATTTCTTCCGATTTTTTTGTTTTTGTTTTTACAGGTCAAAATCAATTGCAACTTTTCTCTAAGACTGACCACCAGTTACTAAAGCAAGCTTTATGTAAGCTTAGTGTACATAGCATACATATTTTTAACAGTGTTATATACACATACGTGCGGCCAGCAGTAACAGCCTGGTTGATCAGGAACTGAGCCACCACGAGGCCTGGTCACGGACTGGGCCACGGGGGCGTTGACCCCCCGAAACTCCCTCCAGGTATACACATATAAGAACATTACACTGATATAACCTAACATAATTAGAGTCACACATTGTGACTTATTTCTGATCAGAAGAAACATTCCTTAATTATTTCACAGAAATCAATTTAATAAATAAAATTGGCAGATGATAACTTACACAACCTAACATAAAGACATTGTTTACCTTGAAGTCAACACATCAACACTCAAAGTTTAAAGCCGACCAGAAGATACATTTTTCAGTTATTGTAAAGAATCCAACAAAATTTGTGCCTACACAGCCTAAACCCATGAAATGTTCCATCCATCTCGTACGATGCATCAACCAATGAAGATTGATACCGGTCATCATTGTTATATTTTAATCAGCGGAAAGCACTATATCCGTAGGGGTCATATAACGTCTGTGGAATGGGAATATTCAAATTCGATAAAAGCAAGAGAAAAATAAGTCTAGTTCCTTGGATCAAGAGTACCAAGGCGCCTCCCTAAACAGGCGGAGTATCATAAGCACAAAGTCGG